TTAAATACATCTCCCTTAGTCAAAAAAATTCCACCTTTTAAAATATTAACAGTACTGATTTCGTTCAAAAGAGAATCGAGCACTACCATTTCGAATGAGGAGCGCATCATCTTTAATCCAACTTAATTACAATCCGACTACAGGGCCAAAAGTTCAAGTTTCTTCAAAAACCAATTTGGCCGGGCGGCCGAAAGTTACAGCAGATGCACCAACTTGAAGATATTCGATGCAGTGTCGCTATACCCAGTACAGTTGCATCAATAAAACAAAAAATTACTACCATAATCATCACATAACATGAACAAACAAGAGCAGCAAATGATTCTGAAGAAGAATCCACATACATATATAGTGTGCCTAAGGGCAGAATAAAACCAAAAGCACCCACACCTAACTTCCTGATAATCTCCTCCTAGTAAAGCATATTACATCACATCATAAAATCTACGGATTGAATCCACCACGAATATCATTTCTGAAACTCAAGAGGAACAGGCTGAAGAACACAGAATCAAGAGGGTGCCGTTACATATTTGAAAACTAAAACCACATTCTGCCATACTCACAGCTACCCAACACCTTGATTCACACTTTAAGCCCTCTTCTTGTCTTTCAATGGTCCTCGGGGTATTTTGCTCAGAACTTTCGCATCAAAAACTGCATACTGCTTCTTAATCTGAGTCATTGCTTTCTCCGCAAATGCATCAATCTTGTCGTCGTACTTCTCGTACAGAACGGGTATCGTAAGCAGCAGAACAAACACTGTACCATTGATATCAAATTCGCCGTGTCAGCTAAAATGTTAGCGAACAAGAAACTAGGTTACCCTTTCAAAGACAAAGAAATTCCTTACATATATAGAACAATGTCAAAAAGTTGCACAAGCTGCCCACAATTGAGAGAACCCACAAGCCTGCCACAACCTGATAAACAAAATTGAATCTCTTCAATAGCAATATATCATATCAACTAGCAACAGAAGTCGAGAAGAAACGGAAGTGGAAAATGCTTTCCCGTCAAGAAAAGAATCAACACAATTTGGCTTCAACACAATGGTATGACGAGATCCAGCCCCCGTATGGCCCCCATTTTGTAGAAATGAAAATGGGTGAAATAGTGTTTTTTTGAAAAATGAATGGTTGAAAAAAAAGGAAATTTTTTTGGTTTACATGTAATATTATTTTCTGGAAGATTGCGTAGTTGAAAATAGGAGGGAGAAAAATGAAATGTAACGTAATGAAAATTAATGGAGGCCAAACGGGGACCAAGAAAAGAGAATCGGATAAAACTCGCCTCTCACAAATTTTTACTAAAATGCAAGGAACTTTGGAGTAACAAAAATTAAGTAAAACACCATTTAAATATATTTCAGTTGATAAAAAGCAAGTCAAAAATTTGAAAATTGGTTGAAGCAACAAAGTTAGATTTGAAATCAAGATTAGAATTTAAGCGAAAACTAAACTCAAATAAACAAACATCTAATTTCTAAATTTCTACAAATTAATATTGCAACACAATGCAATCAACGAACAATACAAAACCCATCAGCATCATAATCATAGAAAGTAGTTAGAAGAAAAAATTGTAAAAATGAGAATTGAGATAGAACTAAGTTAAGCATCCACAAAAAATGGAACAGATTACGATAAAGTTGTAGCAATTGCTTTCCATAGAAGAACAAAAACAACTAGGCCAGTTTTAGGACCATGTAAACATCCCACCAAATCAATATCCTTTATCCATAGATCCAGTGATGAAAGATGTACCCAGCAGAACACTGCTCTTCTAGAAACAAAACGCAGACGTGATCTAATACTTGGCGAGTGCTTCACTACAGAAATAGCTAGTTAAGAATTTGTAACATCCTCACTATATGTTTACTTGCACTAAATGTTTACTTGCCACATCCTATGACGACTTAGGATAAAAATTATGATTTACAAAAGCAGAAAAATTTTAATCAACAAGAACTTACCATGAGGAACTTCTTGAGATCCCTGCCAGATGCAATTTCCCTCAACAAAGAGAGGGCATGATTGATCTCAATCCTAAGAGCTGAAGCAACCTGAAGAAATGGATCCTCAGGAAGGTGGACTTCTGGTATATGTGGAGGACGCCTGCAAACAGAAAGAGTCAGGCATATATAATAAGCAACACACAATGTCGAACAAACAATTAATTATGGATTCAAAATACTCAGATAAACCCACTTGTGTATAAAGGTTGTTACACTGGACCACAAGAACAAGACTGCAAGGGCAAGAATTAAAATGTGGCAGACCAGTGTAAGCAAATGGTAGTCAAGTAATTCGAAAAGAACCCATGCAGCAGTTGCCCCACCAAGTACTGCAGCAGATATTTTCTTGTTCCTCCACAAGAAGATGTCAGCAGCTACATCAAACAAAATACATGTCACATTACATTCAAAGATTAGTGTAATCCACGCCCAATTCACCTTCAATCATCATTACTATCCTCATGACATAATTTCTTTCAGGTAAAGACTCAAATTCTAAATAAAAAGATAAACTTAAACACAAAAAAAAAAAATTCTGCAAATTTTCTCTCCCACTAGTTCCAAGAATTATTTCATCAAAAAAATAAATAATTAATTAAAAATTAAGTACAATATGTACAAACAACATAGATCAAATCCAAGGGACATAGGCAGTAATGAAATTACAAAATTGAATGTCTCCATTTCATTCAAAGATAATAATTTACAATTCTGATAATCTAATGAATTTTTAAACCTCCTAAAATCCTAAGAACACTACAAAAACTTCATAGGTGAACCACCTTGTAACTCTCTACTAGAGTAATAAAATACTTTAGTTTACAAAAAAAAAAAAGAAAAAGAAAAAGAAAAAGAAAAGAAAACTTAAAATATATCTATAGATATCCATTCACGAATCATTTTCTTGCAGAAGCAAACTTAATTAAACAATTCCATCCGCATAACTAACCACTATAACCCATCAATTTACCTATAAACGCATTAAACTGTTCTCCCCTAGAAAGCTTTCCGCAAATTTACGCATATACAAAAAGATCTACATACAGTGCGAATGCCTTAACTTTCTAATAGCAGAGTTAGCAAATTAGAACATACGTTTGCCTCCACCGAAGACCTTGTGGACAGGTTTGTCCCGGCCGAACAACCGGTAAATCTTGGCCTTTACAGATGACTGAGAAGCCGGCTTCTTCTCGGAATCGGAGTCCGACGACGACGATGAATCGTCGCTGCCGTGAATCTTCTCCGCTATTTTGTCTAACAGTGATTCCCCCTTGGGATCCGAGTTCTCTACGCGCTCAGCCATCCTCAAATCGATTCAAATTCGAGAGTACGGAAACCTAAATTCAAAATCTTCTAAAGTTCCCAGCTACGGAGTGTGAGTAAGGGTTCTATGTATGGAGTCAGAGCCTGAGATTTGGAGTTTGGTTAGGAACATTTCCTTTAGAAGTCACCCTACTTTGGTTGAATTTTCATTTTAGTCATTCAACCTTTTTTCATGATTGAAGTATTAATTGTACATTTATAATTACGTCTTGAAAATTAATTTTTAATACGTTACATAAGGATTCTTGTATTATTACTTTATTTTTATAGCAAATTATAATAAATACGAGAAACGTAACGAGAGATGCTATATTTTAATTTCGCACCTACCTCTTGACATCCATACTAAGTCCCCGTTTTGTAGAAATGAAAATGAGTGAAATAGTATTTTTTTGAAAAATGAGTGATTGAAAAAGAGAAAAAAAATTGATTTACATGTAATATTATTTTATGCAATGTCAATTTTGCTACTTTAACTAATTGGGTGACATTCTAGATGACCTAATTTGCCATTTGACAATTCTGTCATCCAAGAAGTCATTTCGAGTGTTACTATAGCAAAATTCGTAGCATTAACAATAAAAAGGAATTGAACATAAGCAAATATGTTAGCCATGTGAGGAAAACGTAAATTTTGCAATGAAATCATTATTGCGATCAAATTGAAATTTCGTGATAAGTTCTTCACTGAAAACATTTTTAATCGCTAAAATGGAATGTCTCTCAAAGTTGGGTGACCTCTAATATATTTTATCCATATCGATATTTCCTCATTACTATATTTTATCTAGACATGACGGCGTTATGAAGACGTGAAACATCAATAAAGGGGCCGACAAAACGGCGTTAGATATGACGGTGACACTTATTTTGAAATTTGAAATAGTGTCATGCCGTGATGTGTTCTTGATGCTTTATGTGAGTGGGTCACCGACTGGGGACAGGTGTCGGCAGGAAAACGAATAGACAGCGTGATTAGGATACAGGACGGTGACTTTAACAGCTTATATTTGTCCATTTTGCTTTTCTTCGGCCACTCCCAGTTGGGGCTTTCTTTTTGCTGCCAAGTTTTGATTTAGAAATAAAATAATTCATTAAAAAAATCAATTGACTTATCCATAAAATAATTTTTTTTATATGTGATCTATATGAAATTATATTTTAGAGCCTGTTTAGGAGTGATTTTGAAAGTTGATTTTTTGACAATTAGGAGAAAAGTGGGGTACACCTATGAGAGAAGAAGTCAAATATGACGACTGAAATAGTAAAATAACAGTCAAAAAATCAATTTTTTGGGGCAAAAAATCGCTCCCAAACAAGTTGTTAGTATGTTTTATGTTAAATTACTTTTCCACACAAAGTGGTATTAAATATCAATCTAGTGTCAACATATTATAAATTCTATTAAATATGTCATAAACCGTTGTTAATTGAACTTATAATTAATGTCATAAGTGATATCTTCTAAACTAGTGTTAAATAATATGGTATAAATTGTAATATGGCTTTACTCAAAAATGTATTAAAGAACTCGATTGATCGCGGACTATTTTTTGGAAAGGCTAAGCCAAGCCCTGAAATTACCTTTAAAGCTTAAAACGAAGGCAACAATCAAAACGTAAAAGTGGCATATTTTAGTAATAGAAAATAATTTAAGGTTAAAATATTAAGAAAATAGAAAAATACACTCAAGAACGTGGGTTTTACACCACATCCCAATAAATCATGGAATGGTTGTGCACTTTCACTATATGTAAGTCAAAAAATGACTTACAATGTCAAATCAAAGGCTTTTCTTTCCATTCAACATTCCTGGCAAATGATCCAGCACCTGACCACCTGCATTTCTCAAACTAAAAAAAAAAAAAAAAAAAAATATTGAACCCCAACCTTAAAGGTCCCTCACCGCCCCTGTCCTGGAGCATCGTGAGGGAGGTAAATCGCAAGTTATGCCTCCAAGGGTATAGGGTGGAAAGTTGCTTGTACACTTGCACTTACCCAAGAGCCAAATCCATATTTAAGGATTCGAACCCTTGACGCGGCAGCCTCAAGCAAAGCTGGATTTCTCCACCCTCTCCTTTTACCACTTGGAGATGTGCCTCAAACTAGTATGCACGTATTCACTAGTTATCCATGGCCTAATTCCTGCTAGATGCGAAGCAGTATCCAAGGCTAGCTTAAAGTTATCAATCATATCGTTGTAATACACTGCAACTGCAATTGGCACATGTAATGAGATATAAGGTCGTATCGGTGATTTGGAGATACTAGCTATGTAAGTAGTGAAACTACTTATCGAACTCCCAACACACCCATGTTGGATTGTATGGAGCTCATTCATACTTTGCTCTATTTGGTGGAGATAAAAATCAGATTTTAAATCGATTTTGATCGAAGTTGATGAAATATAGACTTAAAAAATTGTGATTTCCATAAAATGTGCAGTTAAAATAAATTGTTGACTTTGACTTAAATTAAAATCTGAATTTTAAAATTAGTCTAAGCTGAAACTTCCTATGGGGATCCAAAAAATCATTGGTTACTTGGAATCAAATTTGTTTACCAAAGCACGAAGGTGGACTTGGCTTTAGAAACATTAAAAATTGGAATGTTGCACTCCTCTCCAAAACATTTTGGTCATCCATAGCAAGGACACTCTTTGGATTAAATGAATAAATTAGGTGCATCTTCAAGGTATGGACATTTGGGAGTGTAAGGTGAAGAAAGTGTTGGATGAATTTTGTGAATAGTGACGCTGAAATAAGTATAATGATGGTGACAAAGCCGAGGCAAGAGTTGGACTCTTTGTCCTTAAGTCGAATTTGCCCCGCAACGGTGCCTACGGATTTCGGCAATCGACTCCCAAGATACAACGGCTACACTTGTGTTTGTAGCACTCCAAAACACAAGTACAACGAACCAATTTAGGCTTATGTACTCCAAGAATGAAATGAAAGAAAATCAAAATAAACGAAATGATTTTGATTTTGGATAGAAGAGAGGATGAGAAACGTTTTGCATATCAAAACTGTGAGGAATAGGACACCCAAAGGGTCCTATTTATAGACCATGAAGGGGTGTGGACGAAATGGTTGAGACCAAACCATGCACCATTTCCAAACAATGCATATATATGAAAAGGTGTCTATTCACTAATGGTTGAGGTCTTTTTCGTAATTTCTCATTCATCCGATATTGGTTTTCGAAATGCCAAATATACCCTTCAATACATGCAGAGAAATCAAAATTCTCTTTCGGGGGCGTTGCCCCCGACCCCCCACGAGGGGCGCTGCCCCCTCGACCCTCGCGACCTGACCGGGCAGGTCGATCCCCGTTTGTGCGCCCCGAAGCGGCGAAGTGGCAAACAATTTTGCCTAAACGGATTGAGTCGAGCTTTTGAGTTTTTGGCCGAATTCGATACGAACTTTAATCGATTTTCAATTCTCAATTTATTTAACCAATATCCAACAGAAAGATGATTCTCCATTGCTCAAAAAACTGTTGAAAATCAGGGACAACATTATTGGACCAGGAAAGCGAAGTGCAGCAGGCTAGTGTGAATAGATTACTTTGCCGGACGGAAGCTGGCAGATTCAACGCCATGGCTGCCTATGAGTTTTTCAGGCCAAAAAATACTAAGGCAGCTTAGGTAACATCAATTTGGGACAGTTCAATCACTCCAAAGCATGCTTTCATCCTTTGGTTAGAGGTTCGGGCCAAGTTACAAACGAATGACAGATTGCATCATCTTCAATTGGACCAAAACTACTCTTTTTTCTGGGCTAACGGAGGAAACTGCCCAACATTTGTTTTTTTCATATCCAGTTAACAAGGATATTTGGGAACAAATCTATGGTTGGTTGGATGGCTATAAGGTTTAACATGTCTACTTTGTAGAGCTCATTAAAGTGGATGAAAAAGGAAGCCCGAAGAACGAGTTGGAATGTAAAGCAAAATGTATAGCACTTACAACTATAGTGTACTACATTTTGATAGCAAGAAATAGGAGTATTTTTGAAGGTCTTAGTCCACGAGTCGATTCTATTGTAAGACAGATTAAAACACACGTATACAAAGCTATGTTTGCTTTGTATTCGTATGTTTTGGTTCAATTTAAGTTTAGCTGTGGGTCTTTTGACTATCGTTTTTTTTTTTCAAAAAATACTTTATTAATAAGTCCTCACTTGTGGCGGAGGAATACCGTGCTAACAAACTCGAACAACGACATTATACAAAACAAATAGCAAAGCATACGAGCTAAATCACCAACAATCTCAAAAAACACCACTACCCTAACCTCAATCCACATCTCACTTCCTCCAATAAGCCATCCCCATCATATCCATACGAAGTAACCCTCAAGCAAGCCTTGGCAACTCTGTCTAAGTATTAAAACGTTTCAACGGGCTTTTAGCTCCCACTCCAGCTAAACAATCTGTCACTTGGTTCCCCTCTCTCCATTGATGTACCACTTGATAATCAAATTGCTGTAATAAATTCAAAAGATTATCCCAGAAGTCCCATAGATACCACAAAGAGCACTTCAAAGAAGAAAAACGATGAGTCACACTCAATGTCAATGTGGTTTACACCTACCTCACGACATAGCTTTAAACATTCAATGTGTGCTCTTAGTTTAGCTTCATTGTTGGTCCCCTCATCGAAATGAATGCTAAAATCTGAAACCAATTCACCTTTTTCATTTCTAATCACTTCTCCCCCACCGATTTGTCCAAGATTCCCCAGACTACTGCCATCCACATTGAGTTTCACTCGATTACGATGTGGTTTTTTCCATGAGACCATTTTATTTTGTCTAACCAGGTATGCCCGATGTACATGTATTTTTTACTTGACATTTATTTGTCTAGGTATATCCGGTGTACTTGTAAATGAATTTTGATCTATAAAATTTTACATACATTTATCGATAAAAAAAATACACACACACACACATATATATATAGACAATTGCCTCATACAAACTGTATGCAAAAATCTACATATTTACCAAATGAACAAAAGAAAAATAATAACCATGCGGATTCAACTAGAAACGCATCCATCCATATG